TTTTGATGTGCTCTGTGAAGCATTGTATCGTGCCGAATCATTGCTTAAATGTAAAGGTGTATACATTGATCATTAACGTTACGGGAATTTCCCAAATATTCCGAGGCTGGGCCGCGGAGCGCGTGAGCCCTTTTTAGTATCATTAAAACAAGCTTGAAAAGAGACACAAAGTTCATTCTGGAGGCTAGAAATTCTCATATTAATCGGAGATAAAAAAAAGATTTTAGGAATATAATTTAGAACTAACTGAAATTTAGAATTAAAAACAAGAAATATTAGAAGAAGGATCCATATAGAACACAACAGGAGATTAACTAAAATTCAGAATAAAAAGTAAAATAAGCCCAAAAATTGGATTTCAATACAAATTCCAAATAAACTTAAAAATCATTAAAAATAAATAAAAATATAATAAAAACTTGGCTCTGAACACTAGAAATTCCCACCATAATTGGAGAAAAGGAAGAGTTCAAGTTGAAATATAATTTAGAAATAACTGAAATTCAAAAAAGAAGTGGACATTTGAAAGAAGAGTCCATCTAGAACACAACATGAGTGTCGACTCTTATGATCGGCAATATAATTTATAGGGTGCACAAGATTAAGGAGAGAGGTGACACAGATGTTTATACTGGTTTAGACCCTCAGCATGAGGTAATACCCTAGTCCAGTTAGTGTAGATTAGATCTGTGTAAGTGTGTGCAACACGATGTTGGAATAGGTTGTGGGCACGCATGTAGAGAATGAATAATTACCCCTAATAATTTCCCTCGGCGCCCCTTATAGCCTTGCCGTGAGTACCCGGGTACCGTGTACATGTTAATAGCAAAATTTGGCAAGATATACTTGGATTTGGAGATAAACACCGAGGTGGATTTGGAGGAGATCGGATCTTACTGAAACAAATTGTGTATCAGCTGGAGACTGTATCGGCTAGAAACAAAGACGAACTAGGATTGAGCCGATGAGGCGAGACACGAGCCGATACAGACACAGTTGGGCTCACGACAGACCCAAGTCGGATTGCAAAGCATTGCTGTTTAAGGAAAGAGTCCGTTTTAGGCAATTGTAATTATTAATTAGGTATTTAATGTCGGTTTCTCAGAGATTTGGCAAGAGTCCGACGTGTGGACTTGTTTGTATCTTTTTGTAGCTTAGGAAAGTTTGATTCATGTCCATAATGGACATAGTTAGTCAGCCCATGTAAAAAGAGGGAGGAATACAACACTTTCGGTGCATCGCCACCTTTTCTTTTAGTTCTTTTCGATGAGTTCTTGTTTCGAGTTAGAGCATCGGCTTCGATCTTCTAACAACAGGTAACTTGTCTCGATGGTTTGCATTATCGGGGCTATTATATCACTTTAGATGTATTAATCTCTTTATTTCAAGTCATCATTATCATATACCTTAGTTAATCTAGTTTAACATCGTAATTTGGTCATATCGGATGCGATTCATTTTAGGGTTTATGTTGGTATTGGCTAAATTATTTTGCTAGATTAGATTAGCTAAGGTATATACCATCCTAAAAATTAGTCAGTTACTTGATTGTTTAGACTTTAGGTTTCTTCACATACTTTGAGTTGCATCAACCTTATTCTTGTTTAGAACCCTAAAAACTAACCTAGAATTGATTAAGAATAAGGATAGTATTGGAGTTTCAGCCAATCTTGCCTGATATCATTGTTTCATCTTAATTTTTTAACTTTCTACATATTATATCTGCCACTTATATAAGAGAATTGATCCTTTTTAATATAGTATTAAGCATGATTCAATCTCGGTCAGATCGTTATATTTAAAGATTGAAACTTGTTTAGTATATTCGATTTGACCAACACTTTTATATAAGTTTGTGTTAGAATAATAGCTGATACATTATCTTTTTGCTCTAAATAATGGGTCATCGTCTGATCTTTTACAATATTGACATACATGATTGATATTATAGCCGATGGGACATATTTAGGGTTTTGTTCTACTCAAATTCATCACACATGAGCTGATTTGATCTGATTGCATCAGTTGATCCTTGATGATACGACATCGGTTTAATCAACCGATCGACTATCGTTTACCTAATTTTGTTTCTTCTTTGTCCTTGCTGGTTGCAGGATCAAACCAGCTGACACGCTCTGAACCCGAAAGCAAGATTTGGACAAGTACTAGAGTTAAGCAGATCTCTCAGTTCAGTGTGTGTGTGTTTTTTTTTGCATCAACAGTACCCCACAATGAGTTTAATAAAATTCTAAAATCATTAAAATTTGGAAAAATACAATATTACATATCCAAAAGTAAAGAATACATGCCAACAAGATTTCATGGAAAATACAAAATTAAATTTCCAAAGTAAGATTTTTTTAAAAAAAATAATATATAAAACTAAAACTGATGGAGAAAAATTAAAAAAATGGCTACATGAGGAATATTGAGAGAAAAGCCCAACATGAAATAATTCAGAATAGAAAAATTCCATCCATTTATTATATTATTAAAGTAATTTCAGATAACCCCATGTTTTATGGTAAAAGTTCTAGAAAACCACATGTATTATGACATGCATCACCTAACCCTAGGTATTGTGGTTCTAAAGTTTCACAAACCACACCCTTATGCATTTTGAGCATGGATTTACTTAAAATTTTAAACCGTAGAGTGTATATGAAAATTTTAATTATTAAGTTCTTGACTTAGATTGATAGTTGAAATTTTCACTACATTAAAAAAATTGTTTAAGATATGCTGAAACTAATCAACATTAATTTTAATAAAGGAAGAGAACCTTGAATAGAGGCACCATGCTTGTTTTGGAGGTTATTAATTTCTTAAAATATACAAAAATATACAACTTTAGATTATGGTGGACCCATATTATAACGGTTGATATTTAATTGAATAAATGAGCAAATTTAACTAGGTGTCTTCTTTTAAATTTAAATTGGACATAGATGTACAAGGGTAGTACTAGAATATCTACGTATGCCATTATTTTACTCATAATATATTTATGCATTGGTGGTATGTGGGGGTAAAACTTTTACCCATGCTTGTGTGATATATCATATAGCATTTTGCGTATAACATATCACCATACGAAGAAATTAAAGCTGATATAGCATGGTCACAACTCAACCTAACCTGGAAAAGAGTTTGAGGCGACTGAGGAGCAAATACATACCAGACAATTTACCAATTGTCCAAAAAATATATCCAATCCATACATAAAGCATCTCCAAGTAACAAGGAAGAGGAGAGGCCAAAGGGTGAGCCAAGGGGCGGCAAAGAAGTAGGGTAGTGGTTAGCGAGACTTCTGAAAATTATAAAAATAGAACCCTAGCGATGATAAGATTTGATTTTTAAATCCCAAAAATAACAGAGAGTGGGGGTTGTGGGTGGGTGGGTGAGCAAAGGGACCACAAACAAGTAGACAGTATTGGTTGACAAGACTTTAAAAATATATATATAAAGCACCTCAACAAGATAAGGTTATATTTTTTTTAAGGTCCCAAGGAAAACAAAAGGAAGGAGCAGCCTGCTATGTGAGCAAGTGGAGGGGTAGCAAAGCACTTGGCTAATGGAGGCTGATGTGACTTTTCAAAATATTTTTCTTAGACCCAAAACAATGAGTCAACTATTTAATGAATTTTAAAAATAATTAACCATGCGTATAAAAAATACATATACTTTTATGTCATAATACAAATTTTTATTGGTGCTAACCGTGTAATTACGTCGGCCATCCTGCTTGTTCATACAATATTAGTTCTATGTTGGTTATATCATACATATTCAGAAGGGCGTGTCATACAACTTATATTTTAGTTTTCTGATGCATATGATCAACTTGTTTAAATAAAACTATAGCATTATTTCTTTTCATAATGTTTGGTTTGTTCCTTTCCGGAAAAAAAAAAGAGAATGTTTTGTTTGGTCAAAATCCTAGACTATTTTTTTATGACAGAGTCAAGTCACAAGAGAGCAAAGGAACTTGAACAAGAAGGCAAGCATGTACTACAACATCTCAATAACACGTTAGCGATGGGTTGTACCCAACTACGGTATTTGCAAAGTATTGGGGATTTTGGTACCAAGACATACGCGAGATTATGGTAAAGAAGACTGGAGATATGATTTTTATACAAGTTCAGCCCCCACCTGATGGGTAATAGCCCTATTCCTGTTAGCCAAAGCCAGTGTTGCCATTATATAATCAATCTCTCACAAGTATAATAGAGAGGAGAACCACATTTAGTCTCTATCATTCTAGCAGTGTAAAGCTCGAGTAGATGGTCGACGGCTAGCAGTCATCAGCTTCCTCAAATTGAGAGGCGGCAATAGATCCCTCTTGACTTTTGTGGCGCTTGTGGATCGTATAGTCTGGTCTTGGTGTTTCTTTGTTGGCTTTTGTGGCTCTTGTGTTGGTTTGTCCTCTCTCTCCTCCTAGAGTTCTTGTATTTATACCCTTGGGTGCTCCTTTGTCCAAGTAGAACTAAGGAGGCAAATATGGATACGATCCGAGTAGACCTTGTAACATCCAAGTAGGACTATATTTCTCTTTTCTTATTCGGAACACCTTCCATATATGAGAGTTGATTATGTATTGGACTTGATATATGGTGGGCCTTGTCGAGATTAATACACAAGTATTGGGTATCCCATATCTAGGATACCGACACATGTGTAGTTAAAAAGAACGTGACATTTTTCGATTGCTCCCGTCCCTTCAAAATTTTTGGGTTAACACTAAATATGGCTATCCTAAATGTCATTGTACAATCTTGTGTCCCTGTAATGAAAATTCTCTACTCCACTCGAAAAAACACATGCACGGTGGTATCCTAATATTGTCCTCAAGACTGGTTGCAGTTGATCCGGGCAATGTTCTTGTCCACACAACAATCCAAGCCTCTTATTTTGGACACAAAAAGCCAAACATAGGAGGGAATTCCATCCTATAAAAGTACATGCACCATGCATTTCCATTCGGTCGTACACCCATCTACAAGGAAAGGAAAGAGATAATCGAGAGAGGGAGAATCTCACCAATGGCGAACTTCTATAGCGGTGTTCTAATCTTCTCTGTGTTGCTCATCTCACTATGGACGGTGACTCCGGTGCTGTCCCATAGTGAGTTGGACTACGGACGCCGGTATGAAAACAATATTCTCCTAAATCTAAAGGCACATGCATATCATGTGGGCTTATTACGATACATATTTAAATGTCAATCCTATACATGCATGTACAAAAAAAAAGTGATTGTATTTTGCTTGTGCCTATAATTTTCACACATTTATATCTTTTCTACTTAGGGCGAAGAATGAGAAAACGCCAAATGATGGCAATGATATGAGCAAGGAAATTGGAAAAGGGGAAGAGCAACATGTAAACCAGGAAGCAGCTGACGCTGCTGTTGTCCTAAAGACCAAAGAAGAAATTGCTAAACGTACAGCAGAACACATACAAAGTACCATTGGAAGTTCACGAGTTGCAATACATGAAAAAGAGGAGTTACTAGAGAAAACAGCTGAGGTAATGAGCCATATGGCAGGAGAGGTCTCAGATCAACTCTCTAAAGTAGCAAAGGAACACACGAAGATTGCTGTGGGTAGCATTGCAACTGCACTCAAGTTTAAGCAAGAAGTCCTAAAGCAGGCTGCACAACGTGTGAAGGATGTTTCAGAAGATGTTCATATGGCGACTAAGGCAAAGCAGGAAATCTTGCAAAACGTGGCCCATGATATGGGCAAAGTTGCAGGAGACATGGCAACCAGCATGGCTAAGATGGCTGAGGTTGCAGCAGGTAATACTAATATCAATGATGTAATGAATCAATATTTAAGGTATAAATATACCGTAGCAGAAAAGGAATATTAAAAATAGCCCATTAAACACAATTAAGCTAGTTAGGATTTACTTATATAAAAATATAACAAGACATTTCCATCCTTTATAGGAGTGGCTGGTGGGGCAGCGGCAGGAGTAGCTACTGGAATTGCTGGGGGTTTTGCTGGTGGTGCTCGGGTTCATGTATCTGGAGGAATACATGCAAATATTCATATTAGTGCTAGCGCAAGTGCCCATGCTAAAGCTAGTGCAGCTGCAAGTGCTGGGGTTGGAGCTAAAGCGAGTAAAAGTGTCAGTGGCAATGTAGGCAACAACGCAGAAGAATATGCAGGTGCCAACGGTAATGTCCATGGAAAAGCAAAAGCTGGTATCAGTGCTGGTTTTGGTATCTCCGCGGGTGCTAAAGTTGCTGCTGGCATAGGAGCGAATGCTGGAGTTGGCGGTGATGCACAGACAAATGCAAAAGCCGGTGTAGGTGCTGGTATTGGTATATCTGGAGGCGCCAAAGTTGCTGGTGGCATTGGAGCGAAGGCGGGAGTTGGTGCTGATGCGAATGCAAATGCAAAAGCCGGTATAGGTGCTGGTGTTGGTATCTCGGGAGGTGCTAAAGTTGGCGCTGACATCGGAGCGAAGGCAGGAGTTGGTGGTAACGCCAATGCAAAAGCCGGTGTCGGTGCTGGTGTTGGTATCTCGGGAGGCGCTAAAGTTGGCGCTAAGATTGGAGCGAAGGCGGGAGTTGGTGGTGACGTGAATGCAAAAGCTGGTATAGGTGCTGGAGTTGGTATCTCAGGAGACACTAAACTTGGCGCTGACATTGGAGCGAAGGCGGGAGTTGGTGCTGATGCAAATGCAAATGCAAAAGCCGGTATAGGTGCTGGAGTTGGTATCTCAGGAGGCGCTAAAGTTGGCGCTGACATTGGAGCGAAGGCGGGAGTTGGTGGTGATGCGTATACAAAGGCAAAAGCCGGTGTCGGTGCTGGTGTTGGGATCTCAGGAGGCGCTAAAGTTGCCAGTGGCATCGGAGCGAACGCGGGAGTTGGTGCTGATGCGAATGCAAATGCAAAAGCCGGTATAGGTGCTGGAGTTGGTATCTCGGGAGCCGCTAAAGTTGGTGCTGACATTGGAGCGAAGGCGGGAGTTGGTGGTGACATGAATGCAAAAGCCGGTATAGGTGCTGGTGTTGGTATCTCGGGAGGCGCTAAAGTTGGCGCTGACATCGGAGCGAAGGCTGGAGTTGGTGCTGACACGAATGTAAATGCAAAAGCTGGTATAGGTGCTGGAGCTGGCATCTCAGGAGGCGCTAAAGTTGGCGCAGATATTGGAGCGAAGGCAGGAGTTGGTGCTGATGCGAATGCAAAAGCTGGTATAGGTGCTGGTATTGGTATCTCGGGAGGCGCTAAAGTTGGCGCTGATATCGGAGCGAAGGCTGGAGTTGGTGCTGACGCGAATGCAAATGCAAAAGCTGGTATAGGTGCTGGTGTTGGTATCTCGGGAGGCGCTAAAGTTGGCGCTGACATTGGAGCGAAGGCGGGAGTTGCTGGTGACACGTATACAAAGGAAAAAGCCGGTGTCGGTGCTGGTGTTGGGATCTCTGGAGGAGCTAAAGTTGGCGCTGAAATCGGAGCGAAGGCTGGAGTTGGTGCTGACGCAAATGCAAATGAGAAAGCCGGTATAGATGCTGGAGTTGGTATCTCGGGACGTGCTAAAGTTGGCGCTGGTATCGGAGCGAAGGCTGGAATTGGTGCTAACGCGAATGCAAATGCAAAAGCCGGTATAGGTGCTGGTGTTGGTATCTCGGGAGGCGCTAAAGTTGGCGCTGACATTGGAGCGAAGGCTAGAGTTGGTGCTGACGCGAATGCAAATGCAAAAGCTGGTATAGGTGCTGGAGCTGGTATCTCGGGAGGCGCTAAAGTTGGCGCAGATATTGGAGCGAAGGCTGGTGTTGGTGGTGGCGCGATTGCAAAAGCCGGTATAGGTGCTGGTGTTGGTATATCGGGAGGCGCTAAAGTTGGTGCTGACATCGGAGCGAAGACGGGAGTTGCTGGTGACGCGAATGCAAAAGTTGGTATAGGTGCTGGTGTTGGTATCTCGGGAGGAGCTAAAGTTGGTGCTGACATCGGAGCGAAGGCGAAAGTTGGTGGTGACACGAATGCAAAAGCCGGTATAGGTGCTGGAGTTGGTATCTCCGGAGGCGCTAAAGTTGGCGCTGACATTGGAGCGAAGGCAGAAGTTGGTGCTGACGCGAATGCAAAAGCAAAAGCCAGTATAGGTGCTGGAGTTGGTATCTCAGGAGGCGCTAAAGTTGGCGCTGACATTGGAGCGAAGGCGGGAGTTGGTGGTGATGTGTATACAAAGGCAAAAGCCGGTGTCGGTGCTGATGTTGGGATCTCAGGAGGCGCTAAAGTTGCCGGTGGCATCGGAACGAACGCGCGAGTTGGTGCTGATGCGAATGCAAATGCAAAAGCCGGTATAGGTGCTGGAGTTGGTATCTCGGGAGGCGCTAAAGTTGGCGCTGACATTAGAGCAAAAGCGGGAGTTGGTGGTGACGTGAATGCAAAAGCCGGTATAGGTGCTGGTGTTGATATCTCGGGAGGCGCTAAAGTTGGCACTGACATCGGAGCGAAGGCTGGAGTTGGTGCTGACGCGAATGCAAATGCAAAAGCTGGTATAGGTGCTGTAGCTGGTATCTCGGGTGGCGCTAAAGTTGGCACAGATATTGGAGCGAAGGCGGGAGTTGGTGCTGACGCGAATACAAAAGCTGGTATAGGTGCTGGTGGTGGTATCTCGGGAGGCGCTAAAGTTGGCGCTGATATCGGAGCGAAGGCTGGAGTTGGTGCTGACGCGAATGCAAATGCAAAAGATGGCATAGGTGCTGGAGCTGGTATCTCGGGAGGCGCTAAAGTTGGCGCTGATATCAGAGCGAAGGCTGGAGGTGGTGCTGACGCGAATGCAAATGCAAAAGATGGCATAGGTGCTGGAGCTGGTATCTCGAGAGGCGCTAAAGTTGGCGCAGATATTGGAGCGAAGGCGGGAGTTGGTGCTGACGCGAATGCAAAAGCTGGTATAGGTGCTGGTGTTGGTATCTCGGGAGGCGCTAAAGTTGGCGCTGATATCGGAGCGAAGGCTAGAGTTGGTGCTGACGCGAATGCAAATGCAAAAGCTGGTATAGGTGCTGGAGCTAGTATCTCGGGAGGCGCTAAAGTTGGCGCAGATATTGGAGCGAAGGCAGGAGTTGGTGCTGACGCGAATTCAAAAGCTGGTATAGGTGCTGGTGTTGGTATCTCGGGAGGCGTTAAAGTTGGCGCTGATATCGGAGCGAAGGCTGGAGTTGGTGCTGACGTAAATGCAAATGCAAAAGCTGGTATAGGTGCTGGCGTTGGTATCTCGGGAGGCGCTAAAGTTGGTGCTGACATTGGAGCGAAGGCGGGAGTTGGTGGTGACGCGTATACAAAGGCAAAAGCCGGTGTAGGTGCTGGTGTTGG